TGCAGTTGAGTTTTGTTTTGCAGTGAGGATAGGAAGCTGATGAGTCTAGGCAAGCTGATGGTTATGATCACTTTTTTCTTTTTTTTTTTCTTTATTTANGGCAAGCTGATGGTTATGATCACTTTTTTCTTTTTTTTTTTCTTTATTTAATTTATATGTTCCAATAACAAGCTGATGGTTGTTGGTTTAGGAAGTTGGGTTTACTAAAATGGCCTGTCAAATTTAAAATAAAGGTAGGACAGCTTCTCTTCTTCAAACATAAACCTTGTTGCCAACATACTCTTGCCTGCACACTGTATGAATCTTTCATTCATCACACAGCAAAAAATGTTGATACATTGAAACCACAAGTGAGACAAGTCTGCAAACTAAAGGAAATTTCATTTCATTGAAACCACAAGTGCATTACATAGATGTTCCGAAATGAGGTACACACAAAATACAAGAGTACATAGAAGATTACAAGAGAAAATAAACACATTACACAACTTTCTTTAATCCATAGCCTTCACCTAATTCTATATAGCAAAAATACACACAACAAAGTTGCTATAGCCAATGCAAACCCCATTTTCATCTCCATTTTTTCTTTCTTTTCAACCAACCTCTTGTTCAATGCTTGCAATTTTTCAACATTTTTCTGCAATTTTTCAATCTTCTCCTCCAGTTTTTCAACCTTCTCCTCCAATTTGGTATTCTCAAATTTGAAGTTTTCATTTGCTCTCTCCAGTGCCTTCATCTTCTTCACTAACCCAGGCATGATTTTTTCAGGCCGGTCACAGGTAGGAGGGTCGACCCAAGAGAAAAAATCACAGCCTCCATTCTGTACATTACAAAAAAAAAAAAAAGGTTAAAACAAGGTTGATTTTTTCCTCCATATTCTGTATATTAACAAGGTTAAAACAATGTATAATACAGCCAGGACACAATCAAACACCCTTCACACAGCCGTGAAAAAACCCAACATTGCAAGAATCAGAACACAATCAAACACAGAAGCAACTCTACCAAAAATATCATACAATTCTACCCTAAATATCATATAATTCGTCGTTAACAGAACACCGTACCTTNAGGTTAAAACAATGTATAATACAGCCAGGACACAATCAAACACCCTTCACACAGCCGTGAAAAAACCCAACATTGCAAGAATCAGAACACAATCAAACACAGAAGCAACTCTACCAAAAATATCATACAATTCTACCCTAAATATCATATAATTCTTCGTTAACAGAACACCGTACCTTGTACTCGAGGCAAGAATGAAATCTCCTGCCCGGGTTGTCGGCCGTCCATGATGTGCGAATAACAGCCATTTTTCTGCACCGACATTCCAAGAAACCGGTATAATGCGACGACTCAGACATGTTGAAAGTGAACGAAATCGACAATTTTGAAGAACGAAATCAACAATTTTCAAAATTAGGGTTCTTGAAGATTTGAGGATCTTGAGATTTGGGAAATTAGGGTTGAAGGAAGATGGAAATGGTTCACAAACAGTAGGGAGTAGGCCGATTCATTTTATCAACGACACACGTGGAAATTTTTTTTTTTTTCTTTTGATTTCGGCCGCCACGTGTAAGTAAAGATGTCCGCGTGTGAAATCCGGCACCACGTCGGCCGAAAGACACGTGCGTGTCACGTGCGTGTTTCCGGGCAATTAACGGGTTTCCGGCGAGTCGGGGACGAATTTGCAACCTTTTTTAAAAGTTAGAGGACGAAAATCAAAATGGCTATTCGAAGAGGACTAAATTGTCCAGAGGGGTAAACTTACAGGACGAAAAATGCACTTTTCTCTTTAATTAATGTTATTTCATTACAATAATTTTTTTTTAATAAATTTTAGTCTTATCTTCTTATTCTTCCATTTTTTTAGTGGGTGGACCGTCTTTTGGGCATTACATCGACCATGCAGCAGTTTCTTGTTGAATGTCCGGAGGCGGCGCAAGTCGAAGAAGATTTTGCTAAGTTTAAGTTGGATTACGACAATACCCAATAATGATGTAATGAATGTTTTTTTTTAATTATTATTATAAAACATTAAGGTGAATGATTTTTTTTTCTATTTATTATTTATAAAACATTAAGTTG